TTGTTTCTGGGCAAATGAAATGTGAAAGTCACTTGCCCTTTGGGCAAGTACTAAAAATCCTTAACGTCAACCCCTGGATTATTTACTTTTATTTCACCCTTTATCATTACTTCCATTGTCTGTGAATTGTAAGTGCAGAAGCTTTATTTTTTAAGCAATGTTACTAACAAATCAAATTCAACATTAAACATGGTGCGGCCTTAAGGCATCTGGGTTTGTGATAACTTAACAAGGGTGAAACAGCAGTCAAAATCAACTTCTATCTGAAAGAATTCAGCAGCAAAGTCAGAAAAAAAACTGTTTAGATCAATTTAAAAAAACTGAAGAGTTTCATTGTTTCTGTCTTACTCCTCTGGTTTAGTCCTGCAATGTGTCAAAGTGATGGAAATGTGTGTTTAAAGGGCACCAGCAGGGTTTAACCAGCAGGGTTAAACAGCTCTCATGAATAAAGGAAGGTCTGAGGTTTACCTGCCTCACTCAGATAAAGACCAAATCAAGTTGCAGTTGGGCGAGGCGAAATGACCTCAAATCAGTGTTACGACAAATTGAGCAGTTTTACCTCGATAACGATAAATGCATGATAAAGTCTCCGGCTCATCTATAAGAAATAAAGGCATATGCAGGAAATGCAACACATCGCTTTATAATATATTTATTCAATAAACCATATTACATATTACTCTCAATTAAATATTAAAGTTTTGTACCCATTTGGGTTTAAACATTCAAAAATGTCTCATTGAACAGGAGAAAAATTTTTCCTGTTTGGCAAAAGTTTTTGCTCAAAGGTAATGGAGCCTTTTGCACATCTTTGAACTCAACGGCGTGGCCGTGCTGTAGGTGGTGGAGGTTGGTAGTGTTACTTTTACACCATGTACACTACCCTGGAAAAACCGTGCCGAGACCGGTCCGAGCTCAGTAACTGAGATAACTTATCGTGTGTAAATGGACTGAGCTAGACACAACCGAACCGCACTAACTGCAGACCAGTTCCAGAGGTGGGTTCGGTTCTCTGATACCAGAGCGCATGAGCAGAACGCGTCATCTCCGTCTGGCTGCACATCCCGATTCACACTCCATTCCAGTAGTTGGCAGTAATGCCCCTCCGGGAGTTGCTTGCCAACCAACACAAAACAGAAA